ATATATATATATTTGAAATCATGTATCCCTTGTACACTTCTGAGCTGATATCTAATATTTTCATCATGCATTTAAATAGTTGCAAATATCATTTGTGGCATGCAGTGATGCCCCATGCAATGACATTTTGGTCAACAGTGAATCACACATGACAGTGGTCTCCAAATTCATAGGGCTCAGCACCCTTAAAATCTTAACATCTTACTCTGGCAGGAGCCTCAACTATGAGGTTGCTATGATGTTCACACAAAGACAAAATTCCCTAATGTTCCATTTCTCAGAATATGTTCCTGGTGTTAAGCGGCGCATGATTGTGCTGTTGATAATGGTATTAAAAAATAGAACTGTTACAGCAGGCTGTCAAATATATTCAAAAACATCTAAAAGGCCGGGTGAAATGACACCCATCAAAATCAACCTATTGTCCAGACACCCAATTAAAAAGACTTTTCAAGACTTATTACATGAATATTTATTAATACTTGCTATTGTTTTACTTAAGGGGATCTGGTTATAGAAATAAGTTAGGCAAAATAGGGGAAAATCACCCTAAAATTGGAAATTTTACCTTTTAGAGTTTTCTTTGTACACAAAGATATTTTACCTTTGAGCAAAGTTCTAATTCTACTTATCTAACTATCCATCCACCCACCTATCCATCCATCCCAGACTTCTATATTCCCAAAGTTACAGATAGTCACATCAATATACACATCCTTGAGAACTATTATTTATAAACAGGTAATTTTACTTTGTAGCCAAAACTAATAAGAAACTCGAATTATTTGGTAAACAATAGCCACCAGAGATCGTTGTGGGGAGTGAACACTGGCCTGGGAACCCCCATACCTGTCTCTTTCTTTGTGGCCAGTTGCCACTCTGCTCTGGAATTCTGCAAAGTGAAGGTATCAATGTAGATGGTTTCTAAGGTTGATGATAAAGAATTTGTTGAAGCATCTCTGAGCCTGCTCCCAATACCACGGAGAATGCAGAGTATGGGGTCTGTGCTTGGGTTCCTACTGCCCCCGGGACTGGTTCAGCCTTCTTCTGGCTTCATTCTCAATAGGGTTGAGAATCAGGGGCAGTAATTTCGATGTCTTGGTATAGGCTGATAGGTTGCAGTAGGAAAGGAGACGG